GATCCCCCTGGCGTGCAGTCTGGGACTGTGGTGGGCCCGCTGTGCACCCCTGACTTGCTCCCTCCCCTTGCCCCTGCTTGCCCCTTGCCCCTTCTTGCTTCCCCTTGCCCCTGCTTGCCGGGAGCCAATCAAAAAAAAAGAAGCAACAAGCAACTAGCTACAAGCCAAAAACTTCCCAACAAGCAACTCTCAAGCCAATTAAGCCAAAAACAAGCCCAATTTCTGCATTTTGTTTGTTTGTTTGTTTGTAGGCTTGACATGTCTGGTCTGAGTCTCTGAGGCTGATTTACTTGCATTTAAGAAGTATAGTACTTTTCACCCCCCACCTCCCAAATTGAGTTTAGTGAAAAAGATCCAGAATGCAAAAGAATGGAAGTCCTTCCACTACCACAAAATAGGCACATCAAAGACAGTGGCAGTGCCAGCTTCCCTATCCTGTGTCTCAAATCTTGTTGTGAAGGAACCACATCTATCGGTACTGGAGTAGAGCACATGCCCATTTACTCCACTATTTCTCTATTAATTCTACCAACAACTCTGGTAATTGTGTTGATGTTTTGTGTTGTGTAAATACCATCCAACTAGAAACTCAGACCACCCATTCAGTGGAATTCAAACCAAGAATCTGATCTCATCCTGCAACCATTACTAATATGAGGATCTTTACTCATCTAAATAGCCCTATCAGAGTCAAATAAACTTCAGTCATGCTCTGGGAAACCCACCTGAGGTAATTGGGCTATTTTCAAAGGGACTATTAATTTCTATTTATGTTTCAAGGCTTTGTTTGGGGTAACCTTTAATAAAAGTCTGCAGGTGAATCAGAAAAAGAACAACTGTGCTGATTATAAGTCACTGACAAAGCAGTTTTAAAAAACAGGGCAAGTGCCCTCCTTTATTTAAGTCTTCTTTTGAGAATTTGCTGGTTCTATTGTATTGATTGTTGAAGGAAAGTAAAGGTGAAGAGATGGATTTTGTATGTGAAGCCCAATTCAGAGCCCACTGCAGTTAATAGGAGTCCTTCCATTGATTTCAGTAGGCTTTTGGATCAGTAGGCTTAGGGCCAGACATTTAAACGTATCTAGGCACCTAAAAATGCAGATGCATGCCTAATGGGATTTTCAAAATTGCCTCAGCACCTAACTCCCATGGCTCCTAGTGCCCTCAGAATGTATATGTGGAGAGTCTCCCTTGACAGTTCTGGGATCAGGGAAGGAGTAGGGGGGAAAGGATGGTGGCTAGGCCCTCTTTCACCCCTACTCAGTGCAACAGTCCCTACTTTTGCTGCTTCTGCAGCTGCTCCTACCAACTGGAGCACAGATTCCTGTTGGAACAGTTGTTTAATAATAAAAAAAATTATTCCTCTGCAATATTTGGAATTTAAACATTGCAGAAGGGCGCTAGGTCACAAGAATTAGAAAGTGAAATTGATTTGGCTGTTTTTACTGCCAAGCTAAACTGCAAAAACTAAACAAACTCCACAGGGAGAAATGAGAATTATAAAAAATTCCTTTTAATAATCTAAGATATCATTGGTAACACAGGTACCAGTCCTAAAAGGTACTGAGTGACTGCAAGAATCACTGAAGCCAATAAAAACTGAAGGTGCTCAACTTTCAGCATTTGGCTGGTATCTAAGCAATTTTTAAAATATGCATATTAATCTGATGCTGTTCTGGAACAGTGTCTTTACTGGGTGCAGTACCTTATATCCCCAAACTAAGTCATCCCAAAATATCCTACAGTAATCCTATTACTAGATGTATTCCTAAAATGACATGTTTAAACTTGGTGGGTTCAATACTAACCCCCTTTATCCCAAACATAATGTAAAAGTAATACTTTATTATATGGTTTAATGTTATATGACGGGGTGGCCAAACTTACTGACTCTCTGAGCCACATATGACAATCTTCAGAAGTTCAAGAGCTGGGGGGCTTCAGCCCTTAGACCCCCCTTGCCACTGGGCAGAAGGATCCAGAGGCGACACGTGGGGAGGCACATGGGGCCAGATTTTTCCCAGATTTGCTGGGCCCGCATGGTCATATGGTGCAGCTGCTGGAGCCAGCAAGCTGGGAGCTGTGACTATGGGGAGATGCAGCAGCAAACAGCTGGGAGCTGCAGAGAGCTGTTGCTTTTGTTGCTGTCTGTCTGCACGGAGCTAAAGCAGTGGCCCCTTCCTGCAGCTCCCACTGTTTGCCACTGCCTCTCCATGAAGAGCTAGCACCTGGGAGCTGCAGGGAGGGGCTGCTGAGGATGGGGGGGGGGCATGCTTCGGGTGATGTGATTCAAGCTTTTGGGGGGGCAAACTTTTGAATTGTGTTTTCCCCACTCACAACAGGCACCAGTCATCTCTGGCAGAAGCCTCTAGCCCCACCACCTTGCTGCAGGGCAGAAGTCCTGAGCACCCTCTCTCCCCCCACAGTTGGCTAGCCAGAGAATGGGAGCGTGTGGGGAGCTCCACGATGCACATTTTAATTGTAAAAGAGCAACATGTGGCTCACCAGCTTCAATTGGGCCATCCCTGTTATATTACACAGATCCCCAGTTTGTAATCCTGAAGCACTTATTCTTGTGATTAAGGTTTGCTGGGCCAGAACCAAACTTTTAATTGCTTACAAAATTTGTAATTATTGAGCTTAAAAACTGTGATGTGAGATTCCCCCCCCCCCCTCCTTCATGACCTCAGTATTTAAAAGCAGACGTGATGACTTGGAGCTGCAACTGACCAACAAAACAAAATAAAAGCATTTGTTTATGGTGTTAGCGTGATTAATGAAGAATTAAGCATTCAAATGATAAGTAAAGTGGAATGTATAATTGATTTTCTTCTGCCACCATTCCTTGGAGAGAGAAAAAAAACAGGATGACAATCATTAGCTACAGTGACTCTTAAATGTTTCAGAATCTTCTTGAACTACTTGAAGTAGATATGCTAACATTTGCTAAAGCAACCTCAGGCCTGGTCTACACCTCTGAGCGGCATTGTTAAGCTCGCCTAAGTCCCTGTGTAGACAGAAAAATTCTTCCATCACCCTACCTACCACCTCTCAGGGAGATGGAGAACTTCCCATTGGCATAAGTAGTGTCTACACTGAAGCACTGCAGCAGCACAGTAGCATTAGTAGGAGACAATTTATTATCTGTCTCAAAACAGTTACCCTACACTGAAGAAAGAGAGGAACGGGCTATATTTATTCTAATACTAATTTCTGTGAGTCAGGAGTATGACTCAGAATGAGCAGTAATGTTGATGCTGGCCTCAGAGAGAGGGCTACAGTTGCTTCTGTAGTGATTTTTGTTTTTTGGAAGAGGGGAGGTCGGGAGAGAGTGAACTAACATTTGTAAACTGATCATAGAACAGAATACCACAGTGAACTTAAAGGGCCAGATCCTCAGTTGGCATACAGCTAGTGAAATCAATGGAGTTACACTGAGAATCTGATCTTAAAAACAAGAACACCAGCTTCATTAGTTAACCAGTAAAAAGCAATATTGCTGGAAAAAGGCTTAAAAATCATCACAGAAAAACAACAGCACTGGTGCAAAATCAAATCCAACCAAACCAACTGAGTATGATGCATTGCAATGCCAAATTCTATTGCTAGAAATCACAAACACTAAAACCACTTCTGTATACTGACAAATATAATTGGAAGTATTGGGTATGGGTACTGGGGGCTTTTATTGTCCTTTTGGAAGGCAGGTATTAAGAGATCGTGGAGTTGGCCAGGAGAGAGATGGAGAGTATACATGGAACATTCCAAAATGGTGAAATGTCATGTAGGAGAAGTCACTAGCGCAGGGGTGCCATAGTCAGGGCAACTGCACCTGTATGCTCCTTCTGTGGTCCAGCAAGGTTACCACTCTAAGCTCCTCAGCCATCACCTCACTTGAGTGGCAACACGTCTCTCTCCCTGCTGACCAGGATATTTCTAGATGGCACAGGTCCTTGTCTGTACTGTGACCTCCCCAGTAAAGTCATGCTGCCTAAGCTGGCCTACTTTACTTTTTTCCTCAGAGATGATAGACAGTGTTAGTGCCAACAATTATAAATGACCACACAGCTCTTTCTAAGCAAGAACTTTTATTCTTAAGGTAAAAACATTACAGAGAAAACATGTTAAAACAATAAGAGACCCTACACACATGCTAATAAGCTTACTAGAGATAACCCTAACTCCTACAAGGGCTCTGGGTGGTGATTAGTTCTTCAGACCCCAAACAGGGCTTTTTCCTGTGGTCACCAGCTTGTAACCACATTAACTCAGAACAGCTTCCCTGTGAGTCCCTCCTTTATCCAGTTTAGGCCTTTGAAGAGACGGAGTGGGTAATCAGTCAGATAATGGGTTTCTCTTCAAGGTGCAGCTTCAAAAGGATGGCTCTAGAGGTGAGTAATTTGCATGCCCCAAATATTTCCTAAGAACACTGCTCAACTAAAAGTTCAATCTTGTCTGCTCCATTGTTGTAAAAGAGTTCTTTGAAGCACATAACACTTCCCAGTGTTTACATTAGTCTTGTCTCCCCCTTAAAAGAAGTTACATACCATGCCATGATAATACATAAAGGTTTGCATTTTAATATAATGACCTCCTAAGATACTTTAACTTAATTCCATAAGGTTTGTCCAGGATATTGTCATATCTGTCACATGGGTTGGAGTGTTGGTGGTAGGCAATGCCTGGCTGCCCTGGCACTTTTTTTCCAGTGTACTGGTGAACATTTATTCTCCAACATTTTTTGTCATCTGACAGATGGCTGTAGAATGTTGTTTCATTTTCAACTGTCTCATTTCCTTTTCATGTTCAATGCTTTCCTTCATTCTCTAATTTTCCTTCTGAAGTGCCGTCCATGTGTATTCTTTGCTGCTCTTGATAGCAGTCTGAAGTGATCCTCCTCCTCCTCCATTCTCCTTTCCTCTTTCGCTCCTGCTTCAGGTTCTCCACCGAGGGAGGCTCCCTTTTCATCTCATTCAGGTCCAAGAGAATGATATCCTTCACTGTTGGTTTTGTTTGGTTGGTTGGTTTTGGTTTTTTTTTAATGTAGGTTTTGAGTCTATCTACATGAAGTACTTTCCTTTGTACTCTTCTGTCTGTAATGAGGCTGTCGAGTTGCTGTGTTGTAGCAGTATCTGAAAAGGAAATGAAAGAAGAAAGAGTTAATGAAGATAATGTACTTTCTTTCTCTTTCAAATGTGACATGATGAAGATAAAGGTGGCTTGTGCAACAATCTACTTTGTCCCTAATTCCTTTATTCCTCTGGTTTATTTTTCATTTCTTGTTTGTGGGCTGCATATTATTACAGCAGGGAATACAAAACCTCATGAAAAATATTTTTTAAAGAAATTAAAATTTACCATTTTGGGTGGAAGATAGGGGAAGAGGGTGGTTCAGCACAAAGCCTTAAAGATGCTCTTTTATTTCAGGCCTTTGTTGGGAAATAGATGTTAAATGCAGGCCTACAGGTGGACATTGGGCTCCTGAACATTCCAGCCAAAGTCCAAGGAGTCTTGTTTACAATAGGTCAGTTACACCCTGATAAATCTGCACTGGAGATTACCAAGAAAGGAGCCTAGCAGTGATAGAGAGGCCATGTCCATCTTAGAGGAGGCTGAGGGAAGGTTGCTTTGCTTCACAACCTCATTGCTAAGCTGCATGAGTGGTTGAGTGAGCAATTCATTGCTCATGATCCCTAGAAGAAAAGGGGGAGAAAAACTGTTACATGAGCTAGATAGCTGCCTGGTCTTGCTAGCCAAGAAACAAACTGATTGACTGACTGACCCATGAATTACCTATTACTAGTTGGGGCATTTGTGCTTACTAAGTAGCTTAGTGTGATAAATAGATATGGCTTTTGAATTGGTAATAATACTGTCCCTGTGTATTTTCACACTTTTATTCTTTATAATCATTCAGGTGCCATTTTGTTGCAGATCACAATGATATTGGGCAGTTTGTGGGGTCCATAGAAGCTTAAGAATGTCCATCCTTTATTCACCAACATAACAACAAGTGGCCTAGAGTGAAGTACATAGCAGAAGCGAGAATCCAGTCATAATGGTACTAGTGGAAGATGAGAGTGCATGTTTGTTCACTTCGAGAAGGAGGCAGGAGGTCTTTGGTTTTTCAGCAATTGTTCAGCTACTGGGATGCATTCCACACCCTACTCATTCATTGCTGACCAGAAAGTGCTGGGATTGGCAAGGGGAAGGGGGGAAATACACAGACTTCCACAGTTACTTGTATCCACCCTTACAACAGTGGTTGCACCTTTTAAATCATTAGACCTGGTTCACAGATCCCATCCTCCTTTTGCCCAACTAAATTGGACCAAATATTAGAGACACAAGGTGGATGAGGTAATATCTTTTATTGGACCAAATTCTGTTGGTGAGAGAGACAAGCTTTTGAGCCCAGACCTGAGGGAAAGCTCTGTGTAGCATGATAGCTTGTCTTGCTTACCAACAGAAGTTGGCCCAATAAAAGATATTACCTCACCCACCTTGTCTCTCTAATATCCTGGGACCATCTGCAACAACACCGCATATAATAATTGCTGGAGGTGAGATAGGGGAATTATACACAGGTAAAAGACTTCCAGGAAAATTGCTCCTGGGATACTCCAGGCAGGAACACAGAGAAAATAGGACTCTTGTCTAGAGTAGTCTGCAATAAGTGGGAAGGAACATTGTGGGCCTGTGCTGAGAAAATCAATTGAAAAGAAATGCCAATGCTTCCTGTCTACAGTAGCACTGAGATTGCTCAAAATGAATCAGTGTAGGTCTAAGCATTTACAAGTCTTGTTTGAAGTTGATGCTGCAAAAGTTTGGGCACCCAAAATTAGTGGCATATTTGGAAAATGTTAGCTTGTGTGTGTTAGACACAGGAGAAGGCCCTGAAGAAATATTTTTTGATTTAATATATCTCGGGAAAATGGGCAAGAACATTCTACTTATGAGGATTAATTTGGTAAGAATTTCAAAATCCTCAGATAGAAGACATTATAGAAGCACCAATAACCTTCCCCCCCCCACACACTCTTTTTGTGTTGTATCTTGTATACATTATTGTTATACTTTATTGTAAAATAAATGTTAATACTACAGTGATGATACAGTGACTGAGCCTAATATTTTGAATCTTCCTATGAAAAATCTATCGCCTTCATCATCACAGGATCTGACATTTTGTAAATATTAAATCATGTCACATCATCCCTGGGAGATAGGAAATTATTATTGTTCCCATTTTATGGATGGAGAATGGAAGCACAGAGAGATTGAGTGACTTCCCCCTACATCACACAGGAAGTCTGTGGCAGAATCCAAAAATGAATCAAGATCTCAGTGTCTTAATCACAAGAACATGCTTCCTTAGCCCTTTTTGTCTAGCTAAGAGCTAGGAGACATGGCAGAGCTGTGCAGAACACATCTGCCAGTTTCATAAAGCTGTATCCAGAAATGCAATTTTCAAGTGTCTGGGGAAGTCTTGCTGAGCCACTGTGATCAGTGCACATGAGGACACTGAGTTGCAGATGGAATGCAAGAGAATTTCTTGTGATATATGGGTTTAGATATTTTATTTTCTCCTTCTGGGAAGAAATACAAGAAAATTTTGATATATTAATCTGCAGGATTTGTCTTTTTCATTGTTTTGATTTCTCTATTGGCCTCAAGAGATGTGGCATAAGGTAATATTTTTAGCAGCCTTCAACATGGGCAAGAGCCAATTAGTTAGCAGCCCTTTTGTGACTGCTTCACAGATTCAGGTAAGAAAGAATAACAGACAATGAAACACAACTAAGCGAATGGTAACGTAGTTAAAGTGACTTATTTATTTTCTGGTCCTTGGGGGCTGGTTTACATTGACTTCACTAGAATTTGTTTGCATGAAGGTTGCTTTAACCCACAAGGTTCTGTTACACCTCTCAGGCTTCACCACTAGCATTACACAAGCTTCTACATTTAATTTCCTTTTCAACTTTGATTTTAAATAGCTGTGGGGTTTGAGCAATAACTATGGAGAGATGGGGTGTTTATAGCTGGCTAAAAGAACTTGATGGACCAAACACAGCTGGCCATTCATTCCACTGAAGTGCCCAGCAGAGAGGTTGTGTCAAAAAGAAAAGGAAAATCAAAATAACAAAACAAAGAGCATATAGCAATAAATGTGTTTTATGGAGTATTTTCACTGAGAAGGGTGATCTACTGAGCTGGAGAAGGGGGGAGAGAGAAATCAGGAGTTCTGGGTTCTTGTTCCCAGCTCTGCTGCCAACTTGCTGTGTGTTCTTCATTATGTCATTTAGGCCCAGATTTTCAAGCCTCCACTAATATTCCTTATCCTTGAGAGTTCCAGGGCTTGACATAGAAAAGTGCTGAATATCTGCAGCTTCCAAAGTTTCTTCAGCAGGAGCTATGCATAATGATCCACACCACTGAAAGTCAAGTCTGAGGTGTTGGAAGTTAGGCACTCAGAAGCTGAGGCAGTCAAAATTACTATGCGCTTTTGAAAATGTTGACAAATTCTATGCCTCAAATTTTCCCATTTTAAAAATGGATGTAACAATGGATATATTATCTTATAGAGAAGAGGTTTTATGAGGCTGGCTTATTTTTTAATATAAGATTTTTGAGATCATCATAGTTATATTATTATTAATAAACTGATATAGACAGAGCATTTTAAGGGAATTAATGCTTTGTAAAACAGCCAATCAGGTTGCATAAATCATCTCCATAACTTCCATTCAGAATTAAAAAACAAATAAAGCCACGGTAACTCGGAGCACTTCTCTGTAAAATGACACGTACAGAACTAAAACTGGAAATACATGAGGCAACCCCACGGGTTTTGCTGAGATGATGGAACAGAGAGAGGATTTACAGATCTGTCTTTGGGTGTGGGGGAAGGAAAGCTGTCTCACCGAAAATGAAATTTAAATCAGTCCTCGCCCTCTGGGGTTGGGGGAGGATTTTGCTGTGTGTTTCAATGAGACATTTACAATCAATCGCCCTCAGCCTGGTTTGAAGTGTCCCTCATTCACGCGGTCTAGGCAGCAGCCAGATATTAACTAGCTGCTTTCCGGATTGTGGTCACTGTAATTTGATTTCACCCTCAGACGGAAACAAGGGAGAAGGGGGGCTGACTCTGGGTAGTCAGCCTCCCCTCAACCCTGAGAAGGGTAAGATCCCCCTACTCTCCAACCTCCGGAAAGGGGTGAGCGGGCCAATTCCTCCCCACGCCTTACATAAAGCGAGAACCCTCTCCCCCTGCGAGTTTATACTCTCCTCTGCCCCGCCTATGCAGGGAGCTCCCTCTCTCTGCTCCCCTCCCCTGTGCAGGGAGCTCCCCCTATCTGCCCCGTGCTTGCAATGAGCTCCCGCGCTCTGCCTTCTCTCCTGTGCGATGGGCTCCCCCACTGCCCCCCTCCCCTGTGCACGGAGCTCCCCCTTGTGCCCCGCTACCCCGCGCAATGAGCTGCTCCTCCCTCCCTCCACTCCTACTGCCGCCCCCAGGCACGGGGATGGCCGGGGGGGTTTAAGGCGGGGGAGGGGCAGAGCGCACTGCACCCGCCCCCTCCCCGAAGAGAAGCTCGTAGCAAAGTCACCGACAAGCCCGCCGGGCCCCATCAAACGCCTCGGCCCGGCCCACACACGTCATGGAAACAAGCACGTCATCGCCCAACAGCCAATGGGAGAGGGGGAAGGCGGGGAGAGCGTCTGGCTCCGCCCACTCCTCCTTTTCCCGGCGGAGGCTCCTCCCTCTCCTCCCCCATTGAAGGCGCCGCACGTCTGGAGCCCCTTCACCCGAACAAGACCCCTGTCATGTGACCGCCGGGACAAGGGGTAGGAAGCGGCAGTTGCAGTGTGGGGAGGGGGTGGCTCGGCGAGCAGCGAACGAGTGAGTGAGTGAGTGACTGGGGGAGACGGGCCGCTCTGCCCTGCAGCCCGGCCAGGAGGTGCTGGCGGTGGGAGCGGGAGCGGTTACTCTGCAGGGCTGGGGCTCCGCGGCGCGAAGGGTGCTGCTGAGCCGGTGCTGGTAGGGGCCGAGCCGCAGCGGGGCGCGTGCGAGGGTGAAGCGCTGGCTCCTGCCCTGTGAGGAGCCGCTGCCTGCCGGGGGTGGGACTGGGGCCCGCCCCCCTCATTGCCTTCCCCCCCGTTGGCGGGGCGGGGCGGGGCGGGGCTGGCCACCCGGAGCAGGGCGGGGGACGCGGGCACCTTGTGCGCCGAGCAGGCGGCGGCAGCAGCGGCAGATTCCCGGTGCGTCCCGAGGCGCCGTCCAGCGTGCGGTTGTGCAGCGGCCGAGGTAAGCGGCAGCTCCGGAGCCAGTAGCTGGAGTATCAGCCGGCCCCGAGGCAGGGCAGGGCAGCGCCCCCTCCAGCCGCCGGGTGCAGGGGCTGAGCCGCCGGAGGGCGCGGAGCTGCGTCTGCTTTCCGTCCGCCTGCTCTGTGGGCTCAGCGCCTTTGCCCCCGTGGGGTGGCCGCTAACCCCTGCAGCGGGCTGCTGCGCTGTATCCGGGGCGCCGTGTGACCTTGAGGGCGGCCGATACGGGGGTCTCCCCCTGCCTGGACTCCTGCGCGGGGCGGGCGTTGCTGCAGCTCGGACCTTCCTCGGGAGGAGACGGGGTAAGCGGCGCCGGCGCTGTGTGACATGTGTGCTGGGCTGGGTGATTGGGGGGCTGCAGCTGCCTCTTCCCCCCCACCCCCGGCAGCACTGGCAGTGCCGAGCCCGGCTACCCCAGTGGGCGCAGAGGCGCTGTTCGCCGTGCGAGCTCCCTAGCTCCCTCCCTTCCCGGGTGCACACACCATAGGTGGTGCTTAGCCCCTGTTCCCTGCCGGGTTAAGTAGTTGGGATTAGTCGTCTGCTGCTGCACGGCATGATCATCCTCAACCTGCCTCCTTGCCAGCCCTGCATGGAGCCAGCTAGCCTCCGCTGGCCTGGGGGCGGGGGAGACGGCGCTTGTAGCTGAGGGTCTCTGCCTTTTCAGTTGCACTAGCGGACTCCCCTCCCCCCGGCCTTCCGCCGCTTTGTCTTGTGGGCAACTCCCCAGTCCAGGTTAGTTAAGAACAGGCAAAGAGGCAGACAGAAATTCCCCCCTTTACCCCAGCGGACTTGATGTTCTGATTTATTAATGGCTAGACGGACTGTGTGTGTTTTGATTCTGGACTAGGATGAAGGCATCTCTGCAACGCCTCTGAAATAGAGGGAGGACCATTGAGGCTGCTTTCAGCAGATTGCGGGAGGGCGTTTGTGTGAGCAGGGTGATGTCCTTCTTGTCCCACTTAGTAGCAGGAAGTGTCTCTAACGGTGGCGCTTGTATGACAGTGTCATCCTCAGCCAAATGGTGTATGTAACCTTTGGATGTTACACCACGTGAGTTTATGAAGAGGCCTTAATACTGGGGGATGATTGCTGCCTGTCGCAGAAGGGAGTGCTGCTGCTCATTCTGGAGTGAGAGGGGATGGGGGACATTCAGAAGATGGTGACTGGGAGAATATCTCACTAATGTCAGAGCAATTTTATTTTCCCCGCTGATGTGAAAGTCTAGAAGTTGGAAGAACTTCTGATAGGATTTCAGGAAGAAGCTTGTTGGGCATAAGCTTTATCAATTAGGTTTCCAATGACCTTGGAGGCATTTCATTTATCGTATTTTTCCCCCCTTGCAATGTAAGTGATTCCTACCAAAATAACTAGCAGTGTCTGCCTTAATTTGTCAAAACTAGGACATTTAAGGCTAAGAAGTGTCCCGGATGTCTCAATTTGACTAGCTGTTAATGTAAGGGTTTCTGAATAGTGGCCAGTTTTAATATGATCTACATTGCCATTGTGGGGGTGAATTAAGGACAGCGTTCTGAACTCAGCATGAAACTTGTTACAGCATAATCCATTTCAATGTTTCTTCTTTCGTTTCATTTTTTGTAAACTTTAAATATAAGAAGGATGAAAGATATACAGTAACAATTGTTAGACTATTTTTATATTGACTTTAACCACCACCCCCCCAACAAAATAGAAGACAAAAACAACCAAGTTGTTCTCTGAAACTGAGTTGTTGTATGCTGCCTTCAGCATAAAACTTATTTTTGGATAATTTTTTCAAGAGCTACCTATCAAAACTCGAAAGCTTATTTTGTAAACAAAGCATTAAGTGGACTTGTGTTGTGTTAATTACATTTAAAGCTGCTGCACTTTAGCTTAGGGGAAGGGTCATTAGTATCTGGGCCCAAAACATGGTGGGGTTGGGGTTCTGGAAGACTCTTGAGAGGTCCCTCAGTAAAATTATAAAACATGTTCTGGGAATGAAGCTCAAATAAAATATACCCTTGGAACATTAATATCTCATCATTTTTAACAAAATACTTGTACACTTGTGGGAAGGGGTACAGCAGTGTGCAAATCTCTGGAAAAAACACAGCTATAAATGTTTACAGGTGCTTCTGCAATTGAGAGTTTAAAAAACTTTGTTAAATGACCTTGATAGTTTCGTTTGCCATTTTTTTTTCTGTTCCATTTAGAAAGCAGGCAGTAACTGTCTTACTATAGCTAGTGAAAAAATTGTTCAGAATTACTAGTTGGGTTTTTTTTTAACTTTTCAGGAACTTGTCCAAATTTTGCATTTATGGTATTTGGAACAATGAGTAAACTTTTTGTATATCCTTAAGCCATTGGTGTCTCTCTTGGCAGAAATGGCTTCCAGCGTACTAAACTTAAATACTTATGGCATAATGAATGGAAACTTTTTTTAGTGCATAAGTGGAAGAAGTGGTCACTTAATAGTAGAGCACAAAAATAGCTTTAGCCCCCCCACCCCATGGTTTAAAGTGTGAAATCGCAGGTTTGGAACCAACGTTGTGGGGTGCTTATTTTCTTATCACTCCTGGTTTCCCTTTACTGGTAGCAGGCTACTGTGATGGTGGTTGCGTTTTTTTCATGTAGATAAGAATTCCGTTTGCTCAAATAGTAGGGGACTAGTAGGTCCAAGCTACTGCTAATATGGGCAAAACCACTTTTTTCTAGGCAGTATGCCAGTGTACCCCAGTTCTTAACTGCAATCCTTTACTATATTAGTCAAATTCCTACTGAGCAGAGACTGTCAAATATGCTGCTTATGCTGTGGATAATCGAGACCACAAAATTAATCTTCACTTTTGATGCAAGTGAAATGAACTAACTATATTTTACAGGGACTTGTGCTTTACCCAACTCTTGCTATTTTTCTGGGTATTATGACATTATTCTTCATCACTTACCTTAAAAACGTGCTTGGAAATTTAAAGTGGAATCTTGTCTAGTGTCACTATCTCAATTCATAAGCACTATAGGTAGAACCTTTCAGTCTGTCAGATGTTAAATTTTGAGGATTTCAGTTGCTGTATTACGGTTTAATAGTATTTTTGCTCAACTTCTGAAAAATGCTGTAAGACCTCTGCTAAGGTAAACTTGTAAATGCTTATGAAGATCTTACGTAATGAAACACAACTCTGAGCTGTCTACTTATTTGAACCATACAGAACATATAGACAGTTTGACTAGACACGAGGGGAGAGGATAAGCTGCAAGTACTCAAAGGATGGAAATGCCAAGGAAGGAGAAGAAATTGAGGTGGCTCTACATGATATGGTCTAGAGAACTGGGATAAAAATGAGTGAAGGAAAATCTTTAAAACTAACATGAAGACCACCACCTAGTTAAGGAACTGTAGATGTGGGGAATAGTACACCTAGGAGATGTGGTAGAAATTGTGCTGCCTGAGTAACTGAAAAATAACGGTAAAGCTGTTATGCCATAGGGAATAATTCTGTGTTGGCACATAGATGGACAAGATAACCTAGTCTTTTCCAACTCAAATTTCTTTCATTAATATAGAGTAAATATTAATGGCACTCAAGTATTCTTTAGACAACTAAAATGTCACTGGACCTCAGTGCAGTAGAACTTCAGATAGACATTTGGATGTGCAAATTTTTCATGGATATTAGGCTTTTAATAAAACCATGCAACATAAACAAGAGATACCTACATTGTTCAAAAATATACAATGTTATTACATTTTAACTACTAGTTTACTATGTTCTTAACCACTTTACTTTTGTAAATTTTCTAAATATAAAAAGAAATTCATACTTAATCTTGTTGCATATACTTAATATTTCTAAATACTTTCTATAAGTGAATTAGAATGGTTTTAATAGTGTATACCCTGAAAAAAAATCTATCTTTGTTTAAAGGAGAAACAGCACAATACAATGAAGTGTAAGAAGGGTGTTTATTCTTAAACATATTCTGTTTTTGGCAACTGAAACTGGTTCCAGCTCAAAGTAAACTAATAGAGGAAGATAAGCAGACCGTTTGTCTCTAGGCTTTTAAATGTAAACTTTATATGATAAGAGAAAATACCATGAATCTGTCATGCGCTAACTGAAGAGATTGGTAACAAGTTTGCTCCCCAAAAGAGAACCAGTACAGTCTTGAATTAAAATCTAATAACAGCTAGGCTCTTTAGTAATCTTAAGAACTTGCTTTGATAATCCATCTGCATTTTTACAATGGATTTAATTAAACTGTTGTATTAATATTCCATAATCAAACATCTTTCTATCCTAATTTTTGTGGTTTTATCAACTAGATGACTGTATTTTGCTTATGGATTGAGACTAGCAGTTTCTAGTAACCTACTATGGTGGGCCCAAAACTCACTCGTCTTGAAATGAGTTCTAGAGAACTATAGTCCTTACATCTATTTACCATACTGAATAACTTCCCTCTTGAAGGTACCAATTTCTTTTTTGTGGCACAAAAATGATAAATGTTAAAATAGGGCAAAATATATATTTCTAATCATTTTATCCATCTGGCTTTACAGTGAAGTAAGTGCTGCTGCTGCTTATTGGAAACCAGATGCCTCAGTCTAAAAATCAAAATAGATAACTGGTTTATTGACACATTCTTATCTGGAAGATGTTTGGCTTGTTTAGAATTATTAACACTGAATTCTGCATGAAAACTCTTCTATCATTATTCATTTTCTTGAGTGATTAACTATTGTGTGGTTGCAACACTATCTTCTTCTCGTGTGAAACTTGGATCACCTGATATTAAAATAAGCTGAATGTAGCTGTCAGGCTTCTTTTCTTATTCACCATTCCTCTGTCTTTGCCCAAAAATAATCTTTGGGAAAAGAGAAAAGTTGCTGTTTCCTACTTTATATTTTTTTTTACCATGTAACTTACAATAAGGAGGGACGCTGAGGGTTATTAACTCAATCTTAAGCCTGCATAGGTTCTTGCATCTGACTGTATTATAAATAAGACTAGATTCAGTATCTCTGTGGAACATGGCAGCACAGCAACATTGTAC